AACTGAGATTACAACATTTTGAAAAGCAATAGTTTGAGTTAAGAGCCTTAGAATAGTCTTTGCAAGCCTTGTTTTTCATATTGCTTAAGTGTTCACCTCCTCCCATCTTGTTGAAAAGAATTGTAAGAGTGTGAACCACTTGTAAAGGTTGTAAGAGGGGTATTAGTCCTTCCCCTACAAGAAATTTGCTAGTGGAAGTTGGAAGCCTCTTCAAAGAAGGCTTCGCAAGTGGATGTAGGTCATTTTGACCGAACCACTTTAAAAACTATTGCGTTATCTGGTTTGCATCCTACTCTTGCCATTTACATACTGCAAACTTCTCTACTTAGTTACTATGCTTCCATACGTTTCTAAGTTATCAAGCTTCTAAAATCGGTTTCCATTGATATTGCTTTTTATCGTACGAAAGATTTATCAAAACCGAAGTTTTAATCCGCTGCACTAATTCACCCCCCCCTCTTAGTACCGCTCCGATCCTAACAATTGGTATCAAAGCCCGGTATTTCTCATTTTGGATTTACACCCGAGAGAAATGGCTCTTAATGGCTTTCAAGAGGGTTTATCGGTTGTTCGTCCACCGTTGTTTAACGGATTGGACTACACTTATTGAAAAACTCGAATGAGAGTTTTCTTGATTTCTATGAATTTGGATTTGTGGAATATCGTTGAAAACGGGTTTCAACTTCCCTCTAAACCGATGAACGAATGGTCGGATTTGGAGAAGAAGTATTTTTCTTTAAACGCAAAAGCTATGAATGTCTTATTTTGCGCTTTGGACAAAAATGAGTTCAATCGGATTTCTATGTGCGAAACGGCTTTTGATATTTGGCGAACACTTGAAATCATGCACGAGGGAACTAGTAGAGTCAAAGACTCGAAAGTTAACATTTTAATGCATGATTTCGAGCTTTTTCGAATGAAGCCGAGCGAAACCATTGTTGACATGTACACCCGTTTTACGGATGTCGTCAATGGTTTACAAGCTCTTGACAAATGTTTCTCAAATTTTGAACTTGTTAGTAAAGTTTTACGATCACTTTCTAAAGCTTGGGAATCAAAAGTAACGGCAATACAAGAAACAAAAGATTTAAATATTTTTCCACTTAAAGAACTTATCGGTTCATTGATGACATATGAAATGGTGCGCAATGCACATGATGAACACAATGAACACAATGAACACTTGAACCACCTTCCAAAGAATAGGAAGGATTTGGAACTCCGGACAAATGAATACCACTTGAGCGATGACTCAAGTGATGAGGACAATGATGAACTTGAACTTCGAACACTAACTCTTAATAAGTTCATTAAACAAAAATCTAAAATAAACAATGAACTTAAACGGAGGAAGAGGCCAAAGAAAAGGAAGGCACCCAATGATGAATCAAGAACTTCCAAAGGTGAAACGGCGAATTGGGCTTTGACGAGCTTCGACTATAAGGTAAGTAACTCAACTCTCTTGAAGTATTTTGAAATTACTTGAAGTTTTTCATGAGTGCTTAATTTAGATAGTAGGAATAGGAAATAAAAAATTGTTTTTCAAAAATTATATCATGTTTTTCTTTTTAACATCTTTGAAAAATTAAAAAATTTAAGCATGAAAAGATAGATTCACCTAAAAAGAAAAATGTATGACTACAACAAATAACAAAATGATTTTGTTTGAAAATGCCTTATGCCCAATGAAACCATCATTGATGAATATACTTTATATTTAATAGTTTATTTGGCTTATATGCCTTATCATGATAAATGTTTTGAAAAGTTTGTATCATACTTGATGATTGTTATACATGATGATTTATTGGTCTTGAAGTTATTCAATTTTGATTAAATGAAATCATGTTTGACTTGAAGTAATGAGTTGAAATAATTTTTTTTTGAATTATGTGTTACACTTTTTTTATGATTTTTGATCTTTCCGTTTTAAACGATGATGCATGGATTTAAAAAAAAAACAAAAGAAAAAAAAAAGGGGCATGCATGTATGGAATCAATCAATAAGTTGAAACAAAAGGAGGAAAGAATTTTTTATTAAAAATTTTCTTTTTCTCTATCTTATTGATTTCTACCTAAGAGACCAATAAACTTATTTATGCCATTTTGAATCTCTTGAAAGAAATATTGAGATTTTGATGATTTGGACGATTTGAATTTAAATGAGTTTTATCCAAATTCATGATCTTGATTCCGTGATATTTACAAATTAAGATTTATTATGAATCAAGATTTTTTCATTAATTGATCTATTAAGATTTTTTTTTATTATTTATGAGTAGGTTTTTCAAAAAGAAATCATGTCTTTTGGTATTCACATGTTCTAATCTTTTATGATATGATTTTTATGCAATTCCTTGTATTCATGAAATGTTTATCGCATCACCCAATTACTTTCTTCTTGATATTCCTTATGTGGTGATATAAAATTATGCATGAAATACTCTTGATATTATTTTGATGCATACAAATGAAAAGTTATAATCATGAATGGTAGGATGAAATTTGACAAGTTAATACCATCATGATTTGAAACATTTATGATTTGAAATTATGCATTCAATTGCTTTTTATTGTGATGATATATGCATATAATATGTATTATGAATACTTTATTATCATACATGAAAATAGTGATAAATATTTTGAAAATAAATATTTGTATCATGTTAGATGATTTTACATTTTGTGCATGATGAGTTATAGTGATGATTGAAACAATGATTGAAATAATATGAATGATGATTTGGAATAATGCATATAATGATGAGTTTATATGTTTTAAAAATATATATGATGATTTGGTATTATGTATGCAATACTTTAATGTACATTAATTATGCACACAATGATGAAATATTCATGATAAATTTATTATTTTGATATTCATGACTTGAATCTTCCTTT